TTCTTTCCCCGGTTTTTTTCCTTCTTTCCCCAGTTTTTTTTTCCTTCTTTCCCCAGTTTTTTTGTCCTTCTTTCCCCAGTTTTTTTGTCCTTCTTTCCCCAGTTTTTTTGTCCTTCTTTCCCCATTTTTTGTCCTTCTTTCCCCATTTTTTGTCCTTCTTCCCTACTTTTTTCTTCTTAAAAAATTCCCTATTTTTTTTTCCTAACATCTTCCTGTTGGGATACAGTTTAGGGAGTCGAATATATTAACTTCTAGAAGGATGATCCCACATCTTTTCAGCAGTAGCTCCTCCTGTAGCTAGACTGCTGTAGGACTCACCCATCTTGTCCAGAATGTTCTGACACACTTTGGGAAGCTGTTCTGGAGAAGCAGGGAAGGGATCTGGTGCTGGTCAGGGATCCCTCTCCTGGCATGTCAAAAGAAATGCACTTCCAGCTCTGCTGTGGGGCTTCTCTGCTGTGAGGACTGTCACCATCAGCCTGGCCAACAGATGCTGAGATGTTTTGTTCCTTCTGCTACAACTAAAAGTTGTTTTTAAACTTTGATGTGAAGTTGTGAACTGTGCTCTTGGACCTCTGTGGCGGGGTGTGTGTGTGTTCTGCCTTCTGGGGGACATCAGTTTAGAGCACCTGTTACTTAAGCATCGCTTACTTGATAACTCCTGTTACTAAAGAGAAGGTTCTGTTAGAGATCTGTGTTCTGCTGAGGAATTTTCAGTGTGTATAGCGCTGGTGAGCAGATAAATTGAACAAAATATTGCCACAGCTGATAAAAAAAAGAAGCATGAGCTCTTCATGGATGTTTGTATTTGCTCTTTAGGCTGTTAACAGAACACACTGAAACAGCTGCTTCTGAACTATATCTGAGTTAAAGGAGAATATTCTGAAGGCTCCCATGATATCAAGTTAATTGTTCTGTTGCTGCAAGGATAGTGTCATAGTGGGCTACCCCCACATTTTCCTGCTGCTGTGTCTCTTGTTGCTTGACTGTGAATATTAAGAAAAGAAACCAGGGAGGAGGTTCCTTTCAAATCCAAGGTTTAACTGCCTCTGGGGCAGTTAGGAATCTGGGACAGGAATTCTGTTGGAAGTGGGAGTGGAGAGGTGCCACACCTGAGTCTGAGAGACAGGTCTCTTCCATCCCACCAGGTGGGAGCATCTCCTGGGTTAAATGGAACCTCCTGGAACTGATTTGAATTTAACCCTCTCCTTCCTAAAATAATTTTCCTGTTGAGGATTCTCTTTAGCCTGGAGCCTTCTCCTTTGATATCACCAGCTGTCTCTGACCTGCTGCTGACAGAGAAGCATGTACACCTTCTGGGCATAAATGAATCACTTACCAGCCTCAACCTTGGCTTGTTGCACCAGGGGATTTCAAAATCATGCCCTTCTCTCCTGCTCTCCTTTCCCATGCAGGGAATCACTAACTTGATGTGGTGCCTTGTGGTGAATCCCAGTTTTGTTTACATCCCCACTTAGAAGAGACTGAAAGCTCTTGGCAATTTTCTACTGTCTCATTCATCTCTTGGAATTATTTTCCTGCTGGACATGTTTTTTCATGGGTGTGATTTTTGGGCAGTGCTGTGTGTGCAGCAGTCAGAGCTCAGGAACCTTCCTGAACAGGATTTTTTAAAGTTTCCATGGTGTTGATTGGAAATAACATATCCCCAGTGGCTGCTACTCTTACTCTTCTCAGTTGGCTTCTTGGCTTAGTGTCCAGACTGGTCTAGAAAGCCGGGTGATAAGTATCCCTGACCCTCGTTGAACGTGACTAGGATGATCTGGATGATCTTTCCTGTTCCAGGGACAAGCTCTATGCTCCTGTTACTCAATCTAACAGCTCTAATGTGAAGTTAAAACTGTGCCCTAGAACTGTCCCTTCTCCCTGTGGCAAGTATGACAAAGAAACCAGTTACCACCAAGCCATCTCCTTGTCCCCATTAAATGGAGAAATCTTCATTCCAATGTCCTAACTCCAGTGCACCTGGACAGGAGAATCCAGAATGGAAAGTTCTGTGGGCAGGACATGGTCTTACCAGTTCAGATGGCAGGGTTGGACTTGAACTGAGGAGATGTAAGAGGAGAGGTCACCATCTCTCTTCTGCCTGTTGATTTTGGCAGCTTTTAGCCCCTGGACAGCAGGTAGCTGGTGCAGAGTTTGGTGGAATCAATCTGTGCTTTGTTTTGCAGTTATCCCTGAAGTGGTTTAAAAACCACTTGGTTACTTCTGCCTGTCTGTAGCTGTGAACTGATGCTGACTTGTGTTATGTGCTAATTTCCAGGCTGCCAGAGCTGCAGAGGGAGAGGGCAGACAGAGATTCTTCACTCAGGACATCAACAACATCATACTCGAGTAAGTGCCTCCAGTAGAGAAGAGTGGGAAAGGTTGAATATTAGGCAGAGTGGTTTTGGTAAATTCAGGAGGAGGTTTAGAAGGAGTTGTGGAGGTGTCCTCATACAGGTCCTCCACGCAGAACATGCCCAGGATAACATGAAAGTCTCCTCGAAATGGCTTTGGGTTGAAATAAGATGTATAACTGAGGTAGGAGAATGTTGGAGGGGATGTATCTTGTTCTCAAGATGGTGCTTGATATACCTGTACTTAAATTTGAAGGTCACTTCACCTGTGATTGTAGCTTGACACAAGAACAGGAAATCCCTTTCAGAGATGTCAGGCGTGTTCTTTGCTATTTAAATTATGCTGAAGGGAATAGTTTCTAAAAAAGGATAGTTTTTCTGGGATAAGGATGAGGGATAAGGCTGCTGTGTTCAGCTGGCTTTCTGTGCAGACTGGAGGAACTCCATTACTGCTTTGTGTTTTCAAGTCCCCCCAGTTACAGAATGCCAGTGTTGCTTCACGCAGCTGTTGAAAACGGCTTCATTCTTCAAGCACCTGGAGAAGGCTGATGAGTGCACACAGCTTTGTGATCATCCTGGTGTAATAATACTTACTCAGAGGCTTTAATTTCATGAAGGTTTATCAAGGCACTTGAAGGGAATTGCCAAAAGGAATTTTGGGAGTCTGCTTCCCTCTTGTTTCCAGTGGTGATTGCCACCTTTCAGCATTCCAGTGCTGGCTGCACGAACAGCCCTAATCTGTTGTCAAAGACGTAACTTTGACCACATCCAGAAGAGATTTAGATCAATTCGTGTGACTTTGCCCTAGAGTCAGTTCTGGGGTTTTTACACTTATTATTGACACTGAGAGGTGGTTTAAAATCTAGTCTCTGAAGTTGTATATAGCTTTGTAGGTGGGTTTGGCACATGCTGACATCTCTAACCTACTCACTGGGAATAGTCCACGGGATAGAGTTCAGTTCTCTATTATCCTGACTCAGATGACCATTGTATCCGATATAAGCATTGTGCACCTCTCATGTCATTGCCTGACACTCCTGCACTTCAGCTCTCAGGAAGAACTGCAGAATCAAGAAGAGTGCTGACATCATTTTGTTCTTTTTCAGATGCTCTGAAAGTAGATTAAAGGCCGTAGCTTGAGATAAAGGGCTTGAGCCTGTTGATTCTAAAATCTAAAGAAGCATCTCGTAGTTTGCCTTGTACTTTGTCCCTCTCTCCCTGCCTCCAGCTCCCCAGGTTGCATCTGAGTTGCGTTCCTGTTGCTTAGAGAGCTCCTGCCAGGTCCCTGCTCAACGCTGTGTTTGTCTTGTTCCTCAGCATAGAGCTGCAGACCCGGGAGCTGAACAGCCAGGTCCGCTCAGGGGTGTACGCTCACCTGGCTGCTTTCTTCCCCTGCAGTAAGGACACCCTGGTCAAGCGTGCCCGTAAGCTTTATCTCTATGAGCAGGTAAGTGAATTTGGCAGCAGAGCCCTGTCTCGTGTGCATGTCAGCCCTGATCTCCAGAGCCCAGTTGTTGTCTACCCAACGTGGGTAGTGTCCTCCACGCAGCGTGGTTCAGGCACCACAACCTGGGGGGTAGATTGAGCACTGGCCAGGTCTTGACTTGCTAGATTGGGGTGTTTAGGCTGGAAGATGTGGACTTTGAATTTGTTCTGTGATTGCTCCAGGGAGGCCGCTTGAAGGAACCTCTCCAGAAGCTGAAGGAAGCCATTGGAAGGGCCATGCCAGAGCAGATGGCCAAGTACCAGGAGGAATGCCAAGCTCACAGTCAGGCCAAGTTTGCCAAGTAAGCTCCTCGTTTGCTTGTTGGGCATCTGTGGCTCTTCTCAGCAGGCTTCCTGTGACCTGTAGGCTGCTCTCATGAAGTTTGCCACCTATTTTTGTTCTGTAGTCAAAAATTGCTGATGAGCACTAATTGGCCTAATGAAGCTTTGTATGTTCTCTGTGCTGTCTGTGGAAATGCCACCTACAGCAGCATTGACGGGACCAGAACTTGGCTGAAAGGTTTCAGTTCTGTGTGGGTGTGTTTTTTAGGAGCCTGGCAGTCTGAGAACAGCCAGGCTGGGTGAGTCCTGTGGTCTCTATTATGCAATATTGGGAGATTTCTTAAGAGCACTTGGCTCCATTTGGACCCTAAGCAGGAGTTTCAGGCCCTCTTCCCATGCATGTGTTATCATTGACTATTGAGACCTCTGCACAGCGTTGTTCAGAGATACTTCATCCTGTCTTTGAATCTCCAGGACAATGATTTCCACGTTATCTCTGTTGCATTTTAGGATGCTGGAAGAGGAAAAGGACAAAGACCAACGAGATCGAGTTTGTTCTGATGATGATGAGGATGAAGAAAAGGGAGGGAAGCGCGTCACGGGACCACGAAAGAAATTTCAATGGAATGATGAAATCAGGTTTGCATAGTTTAGATATTAAGTGAACCTGGGACTTGTCTTACCCTATGCAGTTGGAAGTGAAGCATTTCAGTATTGGTATCTTGTTTTCAGAGCAGTGCTGATCATCTGTGGTAACAGTCAGCTCGGAGGTCTGTGGCAGACTGTGCTGTTTGTGGAAGCCACTACTGCATTTATGAAATCTCACCCTTAAACATGTTGCAAAACTAAGCTGATTTCAGGCACAGGCCAACTCTGAGAGAAGGGCTGAGAAGCCTCTGTGCAGAGGCCAGAGGAGAGGGGCAGGTCTTTGGGGGGAAAAGGGAACTTGGCTAAATTGCTGAAGTCCTCCAGCCCAGACTCTTCACAAGACCAGTTGTGAAAGCAGTTAGAGGTGATGGGGATTGCTGCCCCTGGCACCCAGGGGTCTGACCAGGAACAGAGTGTGGGTGAAGTGGAGAGAGACAAAGGATAAAATGAGAGTCCATCCTGCTGTCTTTTTCATCTTACTCTGTAACAAACAGGGGTGCTGCTCCCTAGATGGCCAATTCCTTTAGAACAAAGCGAGCTTTGCTTCCTGCCTTCTCATTGCCTCTCAGCACAGGGCTCTGCAGAGAGGTTCAGATCTGCAGTGGTTAATGACCCCTGTAATCCTGGCACAGGTTTGCTGCTCTGCTGTGGCAGGAGGTTACAATGGGAAGGGGTAACAAGGCTTTTCTCCTCCAGCACAGTGATGTACGTGCACACTCAGAGCGAGGAACGTGCCTTTCCCTTCCTCTTGCTCCGGGAGGCAGTGCAGGGTTGGTTTTATTAGCAAGGTGTTGTGCAGAGCCAGGCCTGACTCGGTGTATTTATCCAGCTCTGGATAAAGAGAATGACCTCCAGCTGGGGCTGGTTCATCTGCGTAACTGTGTGTGAAATCTTCCTGTTCTTCAGGGAGCTGCTTTGCCACTTGGTGAAGATTAAGTTGGATGGTTATGACCTTGACAAGAATAAGGCTCATTCTCTAGAGGACTATGTGAAGACTTTCCTAGATGGAGAGGTGAAGCCCCTTTGGCCAAAAGGCTGGATGCAGGCCAGGTGAGCAAGCATCGAGTTGTACTGCAGGGATTCCTTGTCATAAGGGCCCTCAGAAGGTCGTTAGTCCTACCCCTGCTCCAAGAGTGGCTGGCTTCAGAGTTAGATCAGAGTGCTCAGGGCACTGTGGAGTGCTCCTTGTCCTGTGGAGTTTTGGAAGTCTCCAGGGATGGAGTTTTGGAAGTCTGCAGGGATGGAGTTTTGGAAGTCTCCATGGATGGAGGTGACCACAACATCTCTGGGCTCCTGTTCCAATACTTAATCGCTCTTCATGAAATCTTTTCTCCTTATTTCCAATCAGATTTACCCTTGCTACACTGAACTGAATGTTCCCACTTTTTACTGTGCATCTTTGAGAAAGGTCTGGCTCCATCTTCTTTGTGGCTCTCTGCCCCCCACCCCCAGTCTTTAGGTAGTGGAAGACAAGATCCTTCCTTGGCCTTCTTATTTTCCAGGCTAAGCAAACCAAGTTTCCTCAACCTCTCCTTGTATGTCATGTGTCCCTGTTCCTCAGCCATCGCAGTGGTTCTGGACTCTCTCTAGTTTGTTGATCTCTCTCTTGTATTGTGGGAACCCTGAAACTGGATGCTGTATCCAGATGTGACCTCACAAGTGCCAAACAGAGGGGAATAACTGAACTTGAACTACTGGCTGTGCTCTTGCTAATACCTGCCAGTATATAGTTGGCTCTCAGCAGTACACCCTTGCAGCAGTGACTCATGTTCCAGGTGTCCACCAGGACCACAGGTCCTTTTCTGCGTGGTTGCTGCGTAGCCAGTTGGCCCCCAGGATGTGTCGCTGCGTGGGGTTGTTCCATCCCAGCTGCAGGACTTTGCAGCTTTGTCTTTGTTGAACTTCACAAGGTTTGTGTTGGCCCCTTTCTCCAGCCTGTCAAGGTCCCTGTGAGTGGCAGCTCTGCTCTCCAACATATTCTCCCCCATCCCTTCATTTTCATATCACCCTCAAACTTACTTGGAGTGCAGTCTGTGCTGTTGTCCAGGTGAATGACAGTGTTGAGTAGCCCCTGTATTGACCTCTGATGGATGCCACTGGCAGTGACAAGTTACAAAGTAGAGCTGGGACTGGCATGAGACTGAGACCTCACTGGCCTGTGGTTTCTTGAATCTGTATTACAAATAATCACCTTGTAATCTTTCTCATGAAGGATACGTTTTTCAGTCACTTTGGGAAGTCTTCTCTAGCCCCTAGAGTATTCCCAAAGGAAAGCAAAGCAGGAAGTTTTAGGAGACTTGTGGCCTTGCACTAGACACGTCAGCAGAGTCAAAAAGCAGGAATTTGGTGTGGTTTTCTTTACCCTATCTGGTGTCTTCACTGCTGTTTCCTGCTCTTTTACACCTTCCATCATCCACGCCATTGAGCTGGCAGTTGCAGAGAGCCAAACAAAAATTGCCCAGGGTCATTCTGCTGGGACTGTCACCAGCTTCTGGCCTGCTTTGGTTTTGCTCAGTATTTTTAAAGAAAGGACAACTGTACAGTCTTACTGCTGGAATTTCTCTCTCTGCATTGAAAGAAGCAGGCAGCGCTGTCATCTTCCCTCTGCTTTTTGGGTTGTTGGGTTTCAGGGGGGGGTAAAGAAAGAAGTTCTTAAAAGCAATGAGTAGCAAATTACAGATCCATTTGGAGAAGTCCATGTGCACATGAAGTACAGTAGTGTGCATGGTTGTGGTGTGTTGTTTTAGTGTATGGGGGCTGAGTGATGGTGTTAAGAGGTCAGTACAGGTTCCTACTTAGTTAATGAAGATATTACCAACTTAGGGGTCTTAACTTGACAACTTTTAAAAACTCTTTTCTTAAAATAAAGGGAAATTAAAATCTTTTTTTCCCTGGTTTGTGGGTGAAACTGTTCTTGGGGATACAGATGTTCACCTAAGACTCAGTGTAGGAGGGCCTTCCAGTGAAGTTAACTACAGAATGACTGGCTAAAAGTGGTTTTCTTGGTTGCTTTCCAGTGGCTCAAGGACAATGGTTTCTCCTGCTGGGACTTGATGGAGTTGGACTTGATGATCCTGATGGGTCCCTTCCATCTGGAGTATGATTTTGTGGTTTAAAGACAGAGGGGTAGACTGACAGTTACACAGAAGGGGAGGGTAGGGATTGTCAACACTAAGAGAATTGTAAACAATTTTAGGGACAAGCCAGCTTGATTCAGTGTCATCGTGATCACAGAAGTTAATCTTTTAGAGGAATTTGAAGATGGACAGAGTAGCAACTTTGTGTATGAGTTGAGAGGCCCTGCCATGATCCTGTGTTCTCAGCACTAAAAGGCGATTAGGGGAATATAAGGTCAAAATAACCTTGTTTTTAAAAAGAAAAAGGAAGACAAAAGCCTTTGCCAAGCTGTTAATAGCAGATGGGGGGTTTATTCCCTGTGCCAGCACTGAAGGTGTATTTATTTCTAAGCTTCTCACCCTGACATCTAAGAAGGCAGCTGAGTGACAGCTGGTTTAGGTGAAATAGTGTTTGTGTAAGATTCTAGTTTACTCAGCCTCAGGAGTAAAGGGTTTTGGATGAAGCTCTATTTCCTGCTTGTGGTTAGTCAATTGTTACAGAAATGGTTGTAAGGAGCCACCTCAGCTGTTTGCTGGGGACACAGGACAACAGAGACATGCAACGTGCAGAGACTTCTCATCCGGATCGCTGTAGTGAGGCAGGGAAGGGAACCTCTCTCTCTTGAAGTTGATGAAGAAGAGTTCTTTTGTGACCTGCCAGCTCTTGGATGATCTGTGGCAGCAGTTAATGCCCAGCTTGACTGATTGTACTGCCTCTCCAGCTGGCTGTCAGCTTTTTAAGCTGGCAGAGCTTTTTCCTTAGTTATTGTCCAACAACTGCTTTAATGGCCTTTCTGGTGCCGCCAAGCGTCGCTCCCCAGAGAGGGAATTGTGTGGGG